CTCCACGCAGAACAAGACCAATCAAATCGTTCCAGAGGTCACAGTTGACCTGCGAGGAGCGACGATTGGCTGGGCCTCAAAGGACAAATCCAGCAAAAAGAATGTTTTAGAGGTTTGTTGACATGGAAAATAATGTGTGATGTTGTTATCTTAAGCAAATAACACGTGCTTATATTTTTATCTCTGTTATCTCCATTTCAGAACAGTGTGTGATTCATAGAGTATATTTCTGCCTCTCAACTCAAACATGATCTCATGTATTTATATCCAATATTAAAATATTATATGTTACGAGTTAATGAGCAAAAGAAAATCATCTGGGAGTGATCTAAATGTGATTTGTGATTCGTGTAATTATTGCTTCCTAAAATAAGTCTGATGAATTGTATCTCATTATCTCTCCTCCAGTTAAAAGGCAAGAACGGTGTGGAGTATCTGATACAGTACGACACAGAAAGCATCATCAGTGACTGGCACAAAGTGTTAACAGACACCATACGACAACTGGTAACTCCTTTCATTGGATATAATTGTGAAGGTTATCCACAGTAAACTGAAAAAAATCTCCAGCTTTGTCAAAACATTTCTTTCTGTAATTGTCTTGAATTATTCAAACCTAACTTAAAGTAATCATTTGACATTTTGGGAAATATGCTTATTCGCTTTACAGACAGTGGCGGTGTCATTGCAGTGTCTGTTTCTTGAAACAAGAAAGATAATAGCAGATTGCATTTTATTTTCCGAAATACTTTAAATATGTTGATTTACATTGGAAATACTCTTAACGCACTGGCAGATTTAGCTATTTTAAGAAAAATGCACTGAATTAGAAATAGAAAATTAACATGAGAAGAAGCAGATTTTTGCAGTGTAAAAAATGTGATTGTCCTTTTGTATGACTCATGTCTTCATTTTGATAAATAATTCATTAAATACTGATTAATTCAACTTAAATTCTGATAACTGTGCTGTGTAAAACCTCAGTTTGATTGACTCACTGTGTATCTGTGCATCAGGAGTACCAGGACCATCATTCAGAGGAGGAGGAAGGGGACTTGTATGAGAAGATCGCCTGCACGGATGCAGCGCGAGATGACAAGGTTGTAGGCGCCGTGGAGAAGCGAAGACGTAAGTTTAAAAACTGTGGCATGAATGATGTAATCGTTTTGACCCAATTAGATATATCAGGCTACTGTAAGAGCCATTTTAAATGTCTAACATTGGCTTTTTCCAGCCTCCAGGACAACCGTCACGCCCTCATCCAGCTCTGCAGGAGATACGGACCAGAAGAGGGTTCGGACCAAGCTGATGAAGTTCCTCATGAAGCGGCCCACGCTGCAGTCTGTCAAGGAGAAAGGCTACATCCGAGGTAAACAGCCACAACGTTATATAAGGTTATTTTCAGGCGGTGGCTGATTTGAATAGAAATTTCATCCTACCAGACTTTAAACCATCTACTATTTTTAAGTGGTTATACATGTTTTTAAACACCAGCAGTTTTTCTATTTTCCATTACACATTTCATTTCAATGTGTTCAATGATGTTTCAATTATTTTTTGCAGAAAGTTACAAATTAATTTACTCACCACCACAGTTACAATCATGCCCAGTTTTAATTGACGTACTGACAAATCACTTCACACACAGCCTGTGCAGTCTTATTACAATCAATCAATCAATCAATCAATCAATCACTATGAATATATGATAGCACATTGTGTATATTTTGTAAAAGAACAAACCTTTTTTATATTCTGATGCTCATTTCACTGTTATTCTGCATACTGCATGAACAAATTGGAATAAGAATCGTTTCGTATTAATTTCCTACTGCTTATATTATATATATTTTTTAAATTGTACTACTGCTCATATGCATATTATAATCTGTAACAATGTAATGTATACTTTTTATAGTAGTTGTTATACGTATAATGTTGAAATGGTGGGTTTTGTGTAGTTATGTAACCCCAACAACTGAAATTATATCTATATTTGTTCTTTTTATATTATATATTCCCAATGTTACAACACATTTCTGTCTTCTTATTGTATGTGTTACTAGAATTACCAGTATGTTCAATATTAATATATTCTATGGGATGATAATACCGCTACTACAACTACTACTATTACTGTTATTGCTCATAATGTTCTTATTCCCTGCAGACAATGTATTTGGTTGCCATCTGGCCACGCTGTGTACCCAAGAGAGAACCACAGTTCCCAGTTTTGTGGAGAAATGCATCAAAGCAGTAGAAAAGAGAGGTAAACACCTTTGTTTGTATCACTGCCTGAATCATATTAAAGTATTTTTTTGCTGTGTTGCAGTATAGAAGATGACTTACTGGTGCTGATGTGTTGGTTTACAGGGTTAGACATTGATGGACTCTACAGAGTGAGTGGAAACCTCGCTGTCATTCAGAAACTACGCTTCAAGGCTGATCACGGTAAAGTTTACAACAAATTAATTAACATCAGAAATTACTTTACATACAGAGGAAGCAGAGGATCCATAGTGCATTGAAGGCGGCCCTGCAGTATCTCGCTGTAGACAGCAGCGCCCCCTGCTGTGCTTTAATGGGCTTTGTACCTGTTGTGTTAAAACAGAGGAGCTGGACCTCGAGGACGGCCAGTGGGAGGACGTTCATGTCATCACCGGAGCGCTGAAGTTGTTTTTCCGAGAGCTTCCTGAGCCACTTTTCCCATACAGCCACTTTAATAGGTTCATCTCAGCCATCAGTAAGCAGATTTTTAGATCCAATCATCTAATTTTAACAGACTAAAGCACCCGTTCTAGGACAAACCTTAATCTTAATTATGGTACATAAACTTAATGATGCATCTGTGGTTGGTAGATTAATAACTTTTGTCCTGTTTTTCAAGGAATTGCTGATTACAACACAAAACTGTCTCACATGTATGAACTGGTCCAAACACTTCCTCCTGCAAATCATGATACAATGAAACTCCTTTTTGGACATTTACGCAGGTATGCATCCATTTTTTAAATATTTGTTTTGTTTTATCCTGTTTGAGAACTTGTAACAGATAAGTAACAGGAAAATGATGATGCCTCACATAATCATCCCATTTTTTCCTCTGCCAGGGTCATTCAATATGGGGAAGACAATCGCATGACTGTGCAGAATGTGGCAATTGTATTCGGCCCGACTCTGCTTCGGCCAGAGACGGAGTCAGCCAACATCACCATGCATATGGTCTTTCAGAACCAGATCGTGGAGTTCATCCTGAATGAATACGAGCGTATCTTCTACTCGAGCTAAAGCAGTCACAAGCCTCCAGTGCGGAACCGGGCAAACGTCTAAATGTGCTCAAGTTATTTGAAGTGCTAGATTTACCTTTGCATGCACATAGACAGCTTCAGTGCGACATCTAAAATGAAACTCTGCTTGTAAAATAAGTTGAAGGGCCTTTCAGGTTTTCTTTGCTCAAAATATTTGAGGTTTAACCACGTAAAACAAATTAGATAAAGGGATCTTCAGATGGTCTTTGCTGAGAATATTTGAAGCATGTTTAACCACTGTTTTGTCCAGATTTACTCCATAGGAGGCTGACACTGTTAGAACTATCTTTGGCAGTATTTTAGGATTGGAAATCAGGCCACACGGGTGTCAACAGGTGTGGTTTGGTTTCCCGTCTCAGAGCTATTGAGCCTGTTGCTTGGGTGGAAGAAGGACTGTATCATATTGCTCTCTCTAGCTGTCTTAATCTCACAAAGTCACTTTCTGGAGATTTTAATTGTTAATTGTTATTTTCAATTGTTTTGGTTCGCTATGGTAACAGAACCCAAGTCAAACCTGGACGGATGCATTAATGCTCTCTTAAAGAAAATGATCAATGACCGCTTCCATCTTTATTTTAGAAAGTTTAATGACATTTAAACATTGTTTTAAATTTGAAATTACAGTATATCACATATGGCAATAACTGAGATTGTATTCTAATATTGTGTTTTTGTTTTTCAGTCTCATTTCTACCCATGAATTTTGTTGTAATATAGAAATGTATAAAAAGAAATATTAATACCAGCCTCTTGCTGTGAAGCGGATGGTGACATAGAATACTTGTGCAACCTATAGTTTATTTCCACTGAATTGTAAAATGCCATTTTTCAATCATGCTGTACTTGGAGAAACTGTATAAATAACACCTTAGAAGTATAAACTAGTGATACATTTTTGAAAGTTGGCAGTAAAATCAGTCTGAACCATGAACCAGAAAAGTGGATTCTAGAAGAGATTTATGTATGACCTGTAAATAGAAATAGACGGCATATTTATGCTGAAAGTTGTTGAAAATGCACAAGTTATTCCATAATAAAAAATAACTTTGTAAAAAAGAACAGCTGTTATTTATTCCTGTCAAAAGGCTCATGAAAACATGTCTGTAAATATAAACATGGGTGGAAGTCACAACTATATGGTGTCACTGTGAAATTTAAATATTAAACCAAGTTCAAGTACAGAAGAAGCATCATCAATATGTGCAATCATCACAAGTAAAGGTACTCATTACGCAGAACTGTGTTCTTGTTACGTATGTTGTTTACTTAGAAGCTACTAGTGTGTTTAATATATATCATTACTGCATTATTACATACATTATAGATATTTTGTCAGATTTTAAAACCCTGGTCCCAACTGACAAATAAAATAAAGTACCTCCAAAAAAAAAAAAACACAGTACTTGAGGTACTTGAGTGAATGTACATGTTATCTTCCACCATTGGTAATTCATATAAATCATATAAACTTCTATTACATGTTTGTAAATTACATTAATAAGTTTTACAATAATGTATACACTTTTATCGTAAGTTTCTGTATATATATTATTGTCTCATAAATATATATATATTATTTTATAATTAATTCATGAATATATATATATATATTTTTTTTAAATTAATATTTATTCCATAATAGATTTTTATTTTGAAAAACGCCTCGGTGAATCTGTGTAGCTGCGTCGGAGCCATTTGAGAGGTGGGACGCGCTTCCGGAAGCTGTCAGCCGTGAACACCGCATCAACTGCAATGAGTTTTGAGTGGCCCTGGCAGTATAACTTCCCACCGTTTTTTACGTGAGTCAGCCTGTTTCTGGGCCCCATTTAACCGAGGGTTGAGTAAAAAAGAGTGAACTGTTTATTTACCCTCCGTTGTTGAAATGTTACGGAGCGAAAAAAACGTGTTAAAAGCGCGAGCTAGCGTCACGTTAGCCGGCTAACTGGCTAAACCAAAAAAAAAAAACTGCTAGGGAAGTGGATTTCCACACCGACACTACTTTGGCTTTTTTCTTAAAGTTTGTGGAAGCAGATTTCATTCAGCGACGCATAAATGCTCGACTTACATGCGTATATAAGTGTGTGTGTGTGTGTGTGTGTGTGTGTGTGTGTGTGTGTGTGTGTGTGTTGTTTTTGCCTTTAACTTCAGTTGTCTGGTACCAAAAACACTCATTTAATACTTCCACGTCCACCAGGCGTTAACCAGTGTTACAGACAGTTCTGTATCCCATCACATTATATGGCCTGGCTGTCGTGGCCACACGGTGTGTTTTGATACCTGATAACCAGAATTTGAGACCCTACAGAAATAAATAGGGCTCACACATTTTGCTAATTGTTAAATAACTGTGTGTTTGGATAGGGTCACAACTTTTGATAAAGCGCAGGCTCACCTCACAGTATTTGGTCTTTTCTCCTGTAGTTGATCCTCCCAGGGTTGCACATTTCTGTCCACCGGCTGGACAATACCAAGAAAAACCTCAGCGGGGAAATTCCTGTAGAACAAATTGAACTCTGATGACAAGGAAAATACATGGATTATAATCATTTCCCGCGCCCTGGTATCATGTTTTAACTGTTTACTTTGTGCTACAGGCGAATTAGTGTTCACAGGGATGGTTGGGAAGGGTTCTCAGAAGTGTTTCAGTCGGGTTTTATAAATCGCTGCTTGTGTGATAAGTAAATCTGCTGCTGCCTCTTTTTTTTTCCAGTAGTGCTGATTATTCCTTGTAAATTATGACCAGACAAATGAACGTGGCTCACACTGAACATAATGTAGTCGCCTGTTTTATGCACTTAATCTGTCTAATTGGGATTAGCGTGTAGTCTGCATGCTCCCTCATATTAAGAAATCTACACTATACTTTCTGTACGTGTGATCTGGGCCTGTTCTTAGGAATTAGATGTTTAATATGTGATTATTGAACATTAAACCGTGTTAATAAGCTATTATAACACCTTCTGTTCTTCATTGAAGGCTTTTCCTGCAAGATTTGTGGGATTTTAGTCCCATTCAGCCACAAGTAGTAAGGTCCAATGCTGATGTAGGGTGATAATAAGGCCTAAGGGGTTGAGATCAGGGCTCTGTGACGACCAATCCTCCACAAAAGCAGAAGTCATGTTTATAAAGAGTTCAGCAAAAGCTCTGATGACTATTGTCTCAAGGTATCGTCATGCTCGGTCTGGTTTGGGTTAATCTTGTCATAAACAACGTACACATTTACACACACTTATCCAAATATTCACAGAACAGACAAAAAGAAGAAGAGCATCAATAGACGGAAATTTAAGAAGAGCTTCACAAAATAACACAACAGCATTATAGTGAAGTGCTGTTGCTCTGGCCTTCAAATCCTGTTATCCAGATGTAAAAAAAAAAACATGCTTGTTTTGTACAGACCCCATAAAATGTCACATCGTCATGATTTTAATATTTTTTTTCAAATAACAAATAACACAAACAACCTATAACAAGCATGACACAGGAAAAAAAAAAAAACCTTCTTACAAGATGAAAAGCTGCCAACAATCAGCATGAATCAGACCTTTTATAAAAATGACCTGAATGTCAGGTTAAACATTTTTTTGCAAGGAAAGCAAGAGACAATTTTTTAACAAGCACTAAATGTCCAGATAGGTTGAATCTTGTCTGGTGTTGGTTGATGAGTGTGCTTTGTGTCTTTTACTCTCCCACTGTGGACAGGCTACAGCCCAATGTTGATACGAGACAGAAACAGCTGGCGGCATGGTGTTCCCTGGCTCTGTCTTACTGCCGGCATCACAAGCTCTACACCCTGGACGTCATGGAGGCTCAGGAAAGCCCCGTGTTCAACAACAAGAAGATAGAACGTATCCTATAACAGTGCACCTGTGGGTCCAGTCAGGGCCAACGTTTTATACATGCATTACATATATTATACAGCTCGATCCAAGATCCTCTCATGGAGTGTATACTTGTTTACTAAAACACAATTTTCAAGTCCACATTGTCTCTCATGTTTGCGTAGATTGTTTGATTTGGATTTCTAGTCAGGGGTTTATAGGCTGCCTCCTCTTTGTGGATCTAAAGTTAAACTTTACCCACATGATATTAATGTTTACAGACAGGTTTGACTCGCTAGCTGCCCTCTACACTAGTTGTTTTCAAACTGCGGTCCAGGGACCTACAGGGCTCCTTGAGTGAATCACTTTCAGCACATTATTTTGGGACAAGGAAAGAAATAGGGTTGAACATTTGATCGTTGACTGACTGGGAAGACGTTATTATCTTCAAACCTAAAAAAAAGTACTCTGAGGGGATTCCTTAAGACAAAATACTCTCGAATTGGTGGTCCGTGATCTAATGTGCATCTTTTCTGGGGGTCCTTTAAATACAAATTCTTTGGGAACCCCTGCTCTACACGGCTGCAGCAGCCTGTGTTGAATTAGATTTTAAGTCCCTTTATTATGAGGTTCTCCTCTTGGTTTTGGTGAATAGAAGTTTGACCAAAGGAAGCGTGGTCGTATCACCAGTCACCAGTCAGTTTTCCTGGTGTTACTGGAGTTAAAGGGGAACTCCACTGATTTTACATATCAGAGTTTGTTGACATGTGTTGGGGCGTACTACTGCAAATATGAAAAAAGTTGTATGAAGCCTTTCCTGTTTTTGTTATAAGAGAGTAATGCTAAACGCAGATTGTGCTCTTTTAAGAGAGTTCACTATTTTGTTAGTTCCTCCATCAAGACACTGATCCTAACTCCTGCGCATTCGTTCCTTTTTGTGCCTTAACTGAATTTCAGGAAAACTGTCAATGGAAGCAATTCAAGTTGTGTTTGAGGAATTGAGGAAAAAAGGTAAATTTTGTCCTGTCTAGATGTTTGCACTCACTGTGAATTCATTTTAACAGTAATAAACATTTTTTAATCGTTCTGTTGTCTGATCTCAGGGAACCTCGAGTGGTTGGACAAAAACAAGTCTCGGTGTTTAGTCATGTGGAGACGACCGGAGGAATGGGGCAAGTTAATATACCAGTGGGTGAGTCATCAAACTTGAGACACATACTGTACTGTCTGTGAAACTGTACACTTTTGTACATTGGTGGGGCTGATAAAGGATAAATGGAAAGAAGGAAATGTTCTCTAAAGCAATAAATAAGAGCTAAATTTGAAAGCAGTGTGAATTTACGGCTGTCAGAGATTGTTGTTCGGTGTTATTGTGTTGTTGTTATTCAGGCAGCTAAGATAATTACAGACCTTTTTTAGAACAAGAACAACAATTAATTTCACTGTTTTTCTGTTTCTTTACACACAGGCCCAAAATACACTCTCATACACAGGGCTTAGAGACATTCAAATGTTGATAGAGAGAGAGAGGGTGGAGATATGGGAGCAGTTAGGGTCAATGCTGAAATTGAATCGGTGACCGTCCGGTTCCCAAGCCCCTGGTCCCTACGGACTGAGCTATTTATATACACATGGAACGTAGAATATGTGGCAATAACTAACTACAAAAGGATGAAACAATAAGCGCTCTCCACAGTCAGTGCGTTTACATGCATTTTAATAACTGGGTTAAAGTTTCTGCTGTAACCTGATTCTTCAATGTCCTCTAGACTGGGTCTCTGTAATCAAGGTTGGACGTCAGGCAACAACATTTGCTGTAGAGGTGTAACCAACATCACAGCAACGTGCACACAATGTGGTTAATAATATTCTGGATAGATGATTGTAGACCCATCACTTTTAATATTTTTAAGTTTTAAGAATGAGTGCTGCAGTCTGATAATATATTTATATTGTTGTTATTGTTAAGAGATTCAGTGAAAATACCAAAGCCATCAGTGAATTGATCTATTCATGTCTAAAAACTATTAACACAGCTGTAAATAGGCACTAGCGTATATTAGCGAGGCCTTTTTTAAAGATTTATGCCTTCATGAGGAGCAAATGTGTTTGCAGCTGAGTGCCACAGGCTGAGGAATTCAATAAGTGTTGAGAGCTTGAGTGAAGTATCGTTTGTTTTGGTCTTTTCATCTGATTTATTAACAGAAGTATAGACTATCAGCAGTGTGCTCTAACAGTCTGTGACAGGGATGATCAAAACCAGACCAAAGCCAAGGTAGAAGTCCCAGCTGGGTGATTTATTATGAGCAGATCCGACATTCTTCATGTGTGATGAAGACTTTGAGTTTGTCAAAACATTAGTTGCTGCACCTCTATTTATAACCACCTGCTCCAGATCTCATTCCTCCGGTATGAAAAAATAACTTATTCCCAAACCTTTTCTCAGAAAATGGAGTCATCCGAAGAGAACGAGTGTTGTGCCTCTCCTCGACCGTCGGAGATAAACAGTTTAATGTTTGCTTATTTTCTCACTGATTGTTATTCTGCTCTTTGACCTTTTAGGTTTCCAAAAACGGGATGGTCAACTCTGTGTTTACACTTTACGAGTTGTCCAACGGTGATGACACAGAAGGTGAAGGTATGACACCTTTTTAAAATGTTTTTACCTTATTTTTTAAATCCTATATCCTTTGTTTCTATTTGTATTTGTCTTATTTTCTACAGTTGTAGCCCTGGAAATGTTTCAGTCTTGAGTTTCCGCATGCAAAACACCATGTAACTTTGTTTTGAAAGGTGCTGTACATTAATAGTTTATTATTCTTATTGTACATTCATACATGAACTGTAATCTGTTTCTCCAGAGTTCCACGGTTTGGAAGAGTGGATGCTGCTGCGCTCTTTGCAGGCGTTACAAACAGAAGGCAAAGCAGAGGTCATCACCATAGATGATGGAAAGGGGGTCAAATTCTTTTGAAACGGTGCTGGAATCACACACACACTCTTATCTGGGAGCCGTCATACTGTACCTTACAGGAAATGTTTAAGATTTAGCCATTTAAGGCTATACAAGGTGCACCTCATAACCCAGCCCAAAGGATGCTGGTCCTGCAGTTGTTGTTGCCTTTTGCTTTGCCCGAGTTCAAAGCCTTTTCTTATTGGAAGACAACCAATATCATTTCGACGTGTTTGAGGGGGGCGGGGAAGTATTTGAGGTGACAGTGTTTTAAAGTTGTCACTCTTTTTGAGGTAACATTTGTTGCCATTTAAACATGCAATGAGTCTTATCAGGGTAAACACTATCATGTCTGAATACTCCTGGGGAAAATCTCTCCCCATCAGCTGTAACTTCGCTCTTTCTTTATTGTAAATACGACAACTTTTAACCCTGATTTTTCCCTGCTAACAAAATTTGGGTATAATTAGCTCTGGACCACTTTTGCTCGGGTGTTGTTCCTCTGTTCCAACCAGACATCCCAAAGAAATCCCAGAACACAACACCAGGGGGACTTTTTATTTTGAGAATAAATGCTTCCAGAAGAGGAACACCACAGAGACTTGGACCACCAATCCTGGCTCCACTCAGCTGAGTGTAATAATAGTGGACTTCATGTACAGATTGCTGTCTATTATTGTGCAGTAGCTACTGTGACACTCCTGTTCTCCTCTCGCTCTCTTTCTTTGTGTATATCCAACCAACTTTTTTCATATCCTGTAGAAAAATAAATTAGAAATTTGATACATTTGCTTGTTTTTTTTTCTCTCTAAAATGTCCTCTACACTCTTTGAGTTGTGTTTAGAAGTGTTAAAAACAGAAGTGATGGCATTAACAGTGCCCCACAGTGTGCAGACGTGCAGACTCGAACCACAGTGATGGAAATGTTCTGCTCCACTTTCTGCCTGCAGCTGTACTGAATGACTGCACACTTGATGGTCCACTCACATCATGCGCTGTGTGTCCCTGCCTGTGGGGATGATACAGCTCCAGTGAATCTGGTGTGTTATTTTCTGATAACACCCAGCGTGTACACATGTTGGACAGGTGGGGCCCGCTGGGGCCCACTGTGGCCTTGGCTGATAAAGGTATCCTGTTTCAGCAGCAGCTGCAGCAACTCTCCGCGGTGTGGCTCCCCCTCCAGGTCTGGCCCGCACGCCGCACATGCCCTCCTCGGGCTGCATATCTCTCTCATTCAGGATGATCAAATGACGACAGACTGAGAGAAACCTGTAGTGAAATGACTCACCAGTTGTATCTTAATTCAGAGAAACTAGAGAAGTTGCGCTGGTCAATGACGGACCAATTAGAAGAGGAGACATCCTGTTCTTGTGTTCTCTGTGCGCAGTCTTGAGTTCAGTGGAAGACCAAAGTCTGGCACGTATCCAGCAAATCAATACGAAGAAATGTCAGTAAAGAATTTAAGCTCATGGGTCATCTCTGAAACACCCTTCTTTTGCATCTTATACGACTCACAGTCCGGAGACGACAGATTTTAAAGGCACAAATCTTTTTTGGCAAACAAAAACATTCTAATGAACTGTTTGGGGCTTTAAAAAGTATTAGTTTGCAAACAGCCTCTCAGATCATACTGTAATTACTCCCTCTGGATAGTCCTATTAGCGCGTCCAAGCTGCGGGCGGGCGGGGGGGGCGGAGTTGGGAGCGCGCACTGGGAGCGCACAGGACGCACAGCCCTCCGGAGCTCTGTTGATATAGGCAGCGCCGTCCTTTCACTGGAGGTTATGGCTGAGGACTTTGTAAGGAGAAGAGAAGAGGACCACTCTGATTATTTGATAGGAACAATGCGTTAATCTGCGTTTATGTGCGCAATGAGTTTATGAATGTTACTTTACGCAGCGGCTGTGATGAGTAAGTACACTGTTGTTACTTTTCTGTGTTTTTACCAGACGATATTCCTGACTGTAGCTACAGGTAATGCCAGTTCAGATATTATAGATAGCCATGTTTAATCTTGTCTTTGTTATTCTGGTATACCGGACGCGTTATTTTGTGGTCAGCCTTTGTTTAAAGCCTCTGACTTCACTGACATCATGGAAAAGTAACTTGGAACTTGACGTAACGGTACTCTATTGTCTTGATGCCATTTCCACATTTAGGCTCTGAATCAAGAAGTCGTTGAACCTGCTACAATGTCACACGCACAGGTTGAGATACCAGGACGCGGTTTCCCAGGCCTCTCTATGGATATGACCGACGACTGCTTATCCCGGGTCCCATCCGTGCTCAGGGCGCACGGTTTGGGCGCACGGAGAAACTCTTATGGGCTGCAGAAAATTAGCATGGACATCGATTCGCCTCTGTACAGCGGCGCCCTTTCCAAAGCCTTGTCCTGGTCAGCTGAGAATATACTAACTCTGCCCGAGTCCAGAGCAGAGGAGGAGAAAACCGACGACTATCCGCCGTCACCGTCCCCAGTTTCCAGCCCGGGCACCAGCTCCAACACGCCCCCCTGCAGCCAGGAGCCTGACGCCGGCTCTCTCAGCGGCTCTCTCACCGGGACCTGGAACCCGAGAACCAGCGCTCAGGACGCCAGCTCGGAGTCTGAAAATGAACTTCAGCACAAACAGCACAAGATCTTGTCTCGCATCACGTTTGATACTCAGTGGGAGCAGGAGGAGAAAGAGGACGTGGAGACCAAAGCGGTTGCAACCTCACCTGATGGAAGATATCTCAAATTCAACATAGAGATTGGAAGGGGGTCTTTCAAGACGGTATATAAAGGACTTGACACAGAGACAACAGTGGAGGTGGCATGGTGTGAGCTACAGGTAGGATGGCTTCTTTTAGATTTCACTGTAGAACAACACTTCAAAAAAATGTATACTTATATTTAAAAAATGACTTCCCTTTATGCACAGTCCACACTACAGCTGCACTAGTTTTTCAGCCAAAGTCTGCACTGTAGTTTATCTTCCTTTCACTCCCTCAGCAACAAACCAGGTCAGAAACACAAGCTCATACTTTCCCTGCTCTCCTGCCCCACTCAGCTCTAATCCCCCCCTCGGGTCATCATAGTTGATGTGAAGCAGCTTATTAACTGAACATTATTCCTTGTTGACCTTGAGACGGGCTGTGTCAGGCCCGTTCATGGTAACCCAGGTCATTCTGTCAGCAGTCAGCTCCAAACTGAACCACTCTGCCTGCCATGATCCCCTCTAATCTCTGTTTTCATTAACAACCGGTGACACCAAGGCTAGCCCTCTGAACGCCTCACGTGGAAACTAAGAACAACCGAGAGATCATTTGTATCTCTGTTTCTACTGTCAGTGTTTGCCAGTGCAGTAATAGTTCCACTTGTGCTTTGAAATGTTTCCATCCTGGACTAAGAGATCTGTGAGATAATGTCTCTGGGTTTATGCTCACATGTAGCATGTAAACATCCCTGAGTAAGACATCTACAGTTTCACACACACACACTCTTTTTTTTTTTTTTTTTTTTTGTCTGTCCAGTCTGATGAAAACATACAGAGGTGTGTCAGTTCTTTTTTTTATGACACAGTGTTTGGCATGCAGGAACTAAACAGCCTGGGTAACAGCTGCTTCTTCTCTTGCTTACATGGTTTGATAGCACAGTGGAGGATTTAAAGATTTAAGCTTTAAGTCCTCTCTTAACATTTGCTGTTGTGTGTGACGTGCATTGGTATCACTATCTGGCAGTCATATAAGACTTCTCAGGTGCGACGTTGTGCCCTCATACCCTCTAAACCTCAGTTTAAACCCTGTGCCACTGACATTGGACTACATAAACACTGGCAAATGATCCCTTTTATTTTGATCAGTCCAATCTAAAAGATATTGACAGTTGTTTGAAGGCATTGGTGCACATGAAAGCGACTACTCACTTTGCTCTGATGCACAGAGGTAGTCTTTGTCTCGCCTTTAAGCTCTGCAGGAGACACCAGTCCACACAGTCAGGGATTATGCAAGGTGAAGTGAATCTGCCCCTCAAGGCTCAAGCTCCAGCACCAGCAGGTTGGGACTTCCAAGAGCCTCAAGAGCCCACCTGTCAGTTCGCACAACAGGTGTCTGTTTGGGGGAGGTAGAAACAGAGACTCCCAGGCTTTGCGAGGCACAGATGTCCCTCTACCTACACTGTTACGACTCATTTGTGGATGTTTCATAGCCTCAAGTCAAACACAAGCGGGGGTCCACCAGTATTTGTGGTCTGACTTTTAAAACATACCCTTTTAACTTGTGTGGAGTCAAAAGTGCAACACAGTGTGTTGCGGCTGTTTGGCCAGGGCCCCAATTGGAAACAAGCATGCTATTTCATCTCTTTACTTGAGACATGAGCCCAGTTAAGCTCCTTAATCACTCCTAATAAGCTTAAAGGTGGCCATTGTTGATATGGTTACTGTTGTGTTAAGTTAACCTCAAAGACACAGACTCAGCTGCAGTTGCATTTCTTCACTGAAATCACCACCCCGTCCTCCCCATGTGTCCTTGATTGCTCAAATGAACACAAAAGCTGGCTGTTGGTGGCTAAACACAATCACCGCTGTAATGTTGACAGAGCAGCAGTCGAAGGTGCGTCATTACAAGTCAGGTAGAAATGCTTTAAGCTCTTTTAACTATATATTATTATTATTGTGAGCTGTAAGCTGCAGGCAGTGAAGATCAGCTGTTCAGACAGTGAAGGGGGTTCAAACAACATCTGCTTTACCTGATTCTTATACAGATCATTTCAATTAGTCATCATTTTTACTGAGACACTCCTGTGTGCGCTGTATTGCCAGTGCTGTTACACTGAACACTGGTCTGTCTGGGTGGTGTCAGTAGGAACCTTTTGTGCTAGCACATAAAAGTAAACAATACATTTAGATTCTTTCGTGACATGCAATACCAAAACCCAGCCCGGACAGTATGAAATAAGAAGACAGGGCTCACGTCACTGCCAATGAACTTTGGCGACTAAGAATAAACCGACTGGGTAATATTAAGACTGTAATACAATAGAAAAGCAACCACTCACTGGAACCAGCACTCCCTTAAGCATATTAGTCATTTTTGGACCTAGGACAGATATTCCTCAGGCAAACAAATGAAGAAAAATGAGTATATATATATATATTTATAGTGTATAACATAATATATAACAACATGCCTAATGTCTGAAGAAGGTCAGTGTTGGGTTTAAACGTCTCTGACATACACTAAATACACTTTTCTGTTAACTTGGTGTTCATGTATGCACATCTTGATGCTGCTATAAAATGAATGAGGTATGAACAATATTATCAGCTAACTTTAGCTTATCACAGATATACCAGTGTCAGCTGATTAAACAAACAAACAAGAAATGTCAGCACAGAAATATACTTTTGAGGTAATTTTGAAACACTTTTCCAATTAAATAAAACACTCCCAAGTAAATTTTTTCAACTGTAAATTATAAATATTTGTATTGGACACAATAGATGATTATTTACACACCCTTTTGTACAAAAATGTAGACATGTTGCTCCTAGGTTACGAGCCAAGTATCAGAGATTCTCGACCTCTGCATCCTTCTGCGTCCTTCCTTATCTAATCTACACATGCCTAGTCAATACAAACCATTTTTACTCGTAGCGCAAACAGATGTAGAGAGTTATTTCAGGGACAGGGCCACAATACCAGTAAGACACTGGCTAAAACTACTGACAGAACACAAACCATTTTTAAATATCCAATAATGTCAACCCTGTAACATAGTTCACATATAAAATCCCAGTATTTCACAATGTGCTGCAACTATTATTTCACTTGTAATATTGATTAATTAACTTAGTTGGTTCATCCCTCTATGTTCTGTACGGTCCTAGTGATGTTTTCTTTTCTTTCCTCTGAATTACGACCCACATAACAAACCAATTCAGATAGAACACACATAGAATAACAGAAAAATAAAGACAAATCAAAAGTCAGTTCAGTCTGATTATCAGCACGGTTTCCTCATATGTTTTAAAGTAATTAAAGAAAAGGAGTGTACTGTAATGTTGTGGAGTCTTTAGTAGAATAATTAACAGTGTGGCTGTAGGTTTAGAGCCGTTTCCAAAAGCAGGAAGGCGAAAAAAAAACCTTCCCAGGTGGCAGCTACCTAGCAACCCTTCCCCCACGGGCTCACAGGTTACTCAGGTGCCATATAGGCAACATAAACTGGCCTTTGAAGGCAATGTAGACGTCATAAAAAATGGATGAGCGATTGTATCGTCCCCTCCCATGTCCATTCATTTACACTGAGGCAAGAAGAGTTTACAACCTTCTGCATATGCTGTGTCATTGTTACTGCAGCTTGCACACAAAACTGCAACAAATATGAAAGGCTGATCATCTGTCATAACATGGAATCACGAGCATGAAGCTTCCACCCAGAACAACGAAGCATGAATGCAACAACACAGTGAGCATCTGAGTAGCTGATAGGAACGAGTGCACTGAGGCACAGATCCTTTTTGATTTTCCCCTTTAAATGGAATTGGTTGCACAATACGTGATCTTATTCAAGGGCAGCTTCCAGCAGCTTCCTCCAGCCTGCAGCAGACGCTCAGACACTTTTATACTCTCATGTTTCACTTTTAAACCCAAACAACACTTTAATTGTGCTTTATATAAACAGCTTCACCATGCTCTACTTCACCACAGCCACCTGTATTTTCAGCACTATCAGTGTGAGGGCCGAGCCTGATGCGAAATCTGCTTGAGTGCATTTAAAAATACTGCAGCACCCACAACCAATTAGCCAATTCCTTGGATGCATGAATACAGGCTGAGAGACAGTTTTCTGTTAATAATGACATACCAGGTTGTAAAAGTGGTGCGCTTGTGTGGTCGTAGTTTTTGTAGATGGTCACAAAGTTTTTTTTTGGCAAATGAGAACACTTTCTTGTGGTAACCCTTTCCTGCAACACAGAAATCTCTCTACTGATATTGTGTCTAGTGGGGGCTTTTATTTTGTCTGTGCTGCTTGGTATAAATGGATAGTTTCAGTGTGGAGAAGGCTGGCACATTGCTTTTAACTGCAGAATCAAGTTTAGCAGAAGTAATTTTCATTGAGGTCAAAATATGTCTTTAGCACTGAGTATTGAAAACTGGCAAGCACTGAATGTCCAGTCATGTTTCGCCACTTTTAGAGAGTTCTGGTGCAGCTGCTTCTGTTTAGATAAAGGAGAAGTTCAACAATTTGGGAAATACACTTACCTGCCTTTTACAGCTACAGCCAACATTTTTGTTGGCTTAGCATAAACACACAAGGAGGAAACAGCAGCTACTGATTTTGTGTGTTTGTTAAATTGTCAAACTTTGGCTTCTTTTGTTAAATTTAAAATTTAAAGGTCCAGTGTGTAGGATTTTATGAACTCTAGCGGTGTAGCTGCACATTGAAACTCCTACAAAATGTGCAAAAATGCGAATGCCCCTATCTAGAGCCAGTTTTGGGTTTCCACAGAAGGCGACCCACGTCATCTGTAGATGAATTGCTCAGGTAACAAAAACATAATGAGTCGTACTTTCAGGTGATTATACAATAATGAAAACGACGAAAGAAAGGGACTTGTAGAAACGCATTTTTAGATTTTTAAAAGTAGAGAATTGGTAAAAATACAAAACATTCGCTGGTTTGACCTTCTCAACTTTTAAGAAGTGGTGCATTTCCATGTTTTATAGTGGCAGTCAGTGTATTATAAGCTTGTGGGGTTGAGAAAATTAACTACGTTTCTGATAATTGATAACTTGACTTTCAATCTTGATTTTACTTTTACTTTATCAACTGATTGGAGTGCTGTAGCAA